TAGGGAATGAATAAAAGTGGGAGTTTCTCCTCTTTGAGAGTTCTCTCTTATTTGTTGTAGCTTCCTCATTATTTAGGGATTTTTGCCTATGCTCTCTTAGTGCTTTTCATTGTGTTTTGCTCGTGTTGAAGAAGATGATAACATTGTGGTGACTTTTCTCTAGGATAATTCAAGCATGGCTTTGGTGAACCTTGATGGATGATCTGACTTTACTCAGGCTAGTGCAACTCCACTTCAATATGACATTAAATGGGTGGGAACTTTTGTTTGCCAAATTACTTGCTCTCCCGCCAACTCTCCTCTAGGCTAATGCATCTCTTCTTCGATATAACATTCACTCAATGGGGACTTTTGATTTTTGAATTACCCAATGTTCCTTGTAGGAGACTCCAACTCTTTTTGGGGCTAGTGCATCTTCTTTGACATGACATTTTTCCTACTTTGATAGCTTTTTGAAAGCCTCAATAGTGATTGTATTTATAATCTCTAGTTTTAGATGGCTCTTTTTACTTAATCATCTTCATTTGACTTGAACATAATTTTCTTTTGTAACTAGTGTTGTAGGTCCAGCTTTTACTTAATTATGGTTGCCTTTGCATAAGAATTTATATGTAATATTGAATATATGTGAAAATTGAACATGTAGGCTTCAACACAAGTCTTGCATTGAATCTAAAACTAATTGGCAATAGATGAAATAGCCTTTCTAGTACTTAACTCGCATATCTCTTTATTATTTTGTCAATCTGGGATTATGCAAGCCAAGTATGGACTTCAAGTTTTGTCTCACAAGCTAACAATGCACTTGTTAAGAACATAACTTGCTCTAATACCATGTGAAAATTGAACTTGTGGGTTTCAACACAAGAATTGCATCCAAACTTAAAAAAAAAATTGACCAAGTAGGACTATTCTACCTATTTCCAATTAGTTTTAAGTTGAATGGAAACCTTATGTTAAAGCTTATACGCCTAGTTAATTTACACATGGTATCAGAGTCCAGTATCTATTCTAGGAAGCTTAAGATCTCATGATTGTTCAAGTCTTCATGAGGGGAGGGCATCTTAAGGCTGATAATTTTAGCATGTGTAATAGAAGTTGAAATTTATATTGGGTCTCCATGTAAAGGGGCATATTAAGCACATGATGGGGCCCAACATTCATACTAAGCCTATATGTGAGGGGATGTGATAAGTGGTAAAATCTCATATCAAAACATAACAAAAAGCATGTGTAACTTATATAAAATAAGAGTTACTCAACTTATTATTAAATGATTTTAAGTTAGATACAAACATTGTATTAAAGTTCATATGTCTAATTTTCACAATCTACCATATTAATAAATCTCTATTTCCTACCAAGAAAAAAATATATTAACATGTATATATAATTATAAGAAATTTATAATCATGCTTAAAATTAATGGGTCCCTTGATTTGCTAATTCTATTACATATTTTTTTTCTTTTTTTTCATAATTGTTGATTGAATGCACCATGATTGCTGTGATCTCTTTCATTTTCCTTCATGGCCGTACTTGATTGATGCTCTAACTAATTGTTTTGTATTTGAAGGTTTTCTTCTTTTGAATTGTTGTAGCTTACATGTTTTCTCTTATATATTCAAAAGTTCTTTTTCTCGTTGGATTGCTATAGCAGTTTTCCTTTTTACTGGATTTGCTAACATAAGGTTAAAACTACCACCTCCGTACCATAAAAATAGTTGTTTTTTAAACTCAAAATTTGTCCCAAATTTTTTTATCAGTAAAATTTACCCATAATTATCGGTTTAATTATCATTATAGCGGAGACAAAAATGTTGTTCCTGCTTTAACACTATTGTTAATCAATAACTTTAATTATTCATCCCATTAAAAGAATTTTCTCTTTATCTTTATCCCCTTCTTAAGAATGTGGTTATTGCCACACCTTAAGTAGCTAATGCTACACATTTTTAACGTAATTGCCTATTATACCTTTATATTATACTTTTTCAAAAAAATTTTACATTTTTTTGTTTCTTAATAAATGAAAAAGTACAATAGTCAATTAACATAAAGGGTGTGACATTAGTAATTAAAGTATGCAATAAAATCACCCCCTTCTTAAGTGTAATATAGTTTAAAAGAAAATTACTGGTAGACCAACCATTCGATTTAATATACTTTTCGACGCATATCTAGTTTAATCATTAAAATAAAATATAAATATAATCAATTTAATCTATTTTTATATGTTATATGAATAATTATATTTTTTTAATTTATTTATCTTTAATTTTATATAAAAAATAATTTTTAACAAATATATTGTTAAGTGTATTTAATCATCAATTAAGATCCTTAGTTTAAAATATAAATTATTTTTAAATTTTAAATTTAAAATAAAAAAAATTATTATTGCGAGACAAGAGAAAAACAATTAATGATTTTATTTAATTTAATATTTAATAAGAATTATTATTATTAATTTAAACATTTTTATTCATTAAATTAAACGAAATCAATTACTACTTATCTCAAGCCACTGTACCCAACATTACTTTCATGTTTTCCTATCTTTTTCTTTCTTTCAGCCACTAATTTCTGAGGTTAGCTTTTCGCATAAGAAACAGCTCAAGTATGTCTCATCTGCATTCTGCAAAACCAAGAAAAAGCACAAAAGTAGGATATCGGAATGTTGGATTTTTCAACCAAACTACAGCGACTCTAGTTGTTAAAAGCAAAAAAGTGAAAATAAAGCTCCCATACAGACACAGAAGCAATGAAGCAATAAAGAAAGGAAAAGATTAAAAATAAAGTAGAAACAAAAACAAGAAAAAAAGGAACATAGTGGGAATCTTTCTTCTTCTTTTACTGAACAGGCGATCCCACAACCGCCACCTCGCTGCTTTTCATGCTTTATCTCACCCACTCATGCTTGTTTTCATTTTTTAAGTAAATTTGTAAGAAAATAGTATCGGTAAAATTATTTAAATATTTTTAATTATTTATTTATATATTTATTAATTTATTGATGATATTTAAATTAGTAATGATAATTAATTAATTAATTAATTAATTAAAATATATAAATTTAACTATAACACTTTTATTTTTATAAATTAAACATTTTTTTCAATTTTATCCTATTAAAAGTTTTTCATTGGCTGAGTAGTTTTTTATTGTTAAAAAGATTTTAAGAGTAAATATGAAATTTAAAACCTGCTTATTATGTATCTCAGCTTTCTACTAGTAATAATTTTTTAATAATTATGTCATACTCTTGAGACAGTGGTAGTGTTTTTCTCGTTTATTTTCTTATAATTTTCTTTTGGGTGAACTTTTTGTTGTGGTCTCTAACCTTATATCAGGTTTTCATTTAGGTTCAAAACCTTTTAAGAAATTTCAAAGAAGTCTAGCCTTTTTTGTATGGGTAGTCCTTTTTGTTAATATCAAAGAATTTTTTTCACAGAAAAAAGGGTAAAAGAATGGTCCTACTTGCTCCAGTATCTATGAGCGGCATTACCTGGATTGGCTTTGTGTTCAGGTGGACTGTTTCAACTAGAAAAACCTCACCCAGTGAACAATGTCTTAACCTAGCTCTTAGAAGAACAAAGATGTAGAGATGCTGACAGAAAAAAAGAAGAAGAAAGATATATATATAGAAAGTAAAAGCCAGTGTGATCTCTTTGGATCTTTTTAAAATGTTATTTGAATCATGAAATTATATATAGATATGTATATATATATAATAAGTATAAATAATTTTATAAATTGCACTTAACATTATGAGTCGATTGACTGATAATCAGTTTTGAAGGTGTACTTCTATCAATATAATACTAGTTTGTATCCCCCATCCTCTCTTGAAATTTGTGTTTGTTCAAAAAAAAAATTTACAAATTAAAAAGAATTTACCAAAATCAAAGTTTTAGTTGCAAAAGCTCTATTTTAGAAGTTACAAACTTATAAAGTTAAGCAACTCACGGTAGGTGTAAATGGTTTTAAGAAAATCCCTTTCGTTAAATGGAATCATTTTTCTTTTCTTTTCTTTTCTTTCTTTTTTTTTTTTTCCTGAAGGATGGCATGATAACTAAGCTTTCATGCCCATGCATGGGTGGAGATTAACCACGGAACCTGATTGGTTAAAGTTCTCAAAATCCAAGTAACCACTTTGGGCGGATATTGATTACACAACATGCATGGGGTGTGTAAACTTTGCAAATCTTCAATTAGTGTTTCTTAATGAAATGACCTAAGTTGAAGCTTACCACCAGTCTAATAATTCTTTAAGTCAAGCCCCATGAGTTCTTAAAAACTCAAGGTCAAATTGTTAATAATAACTAGTCATTTTCATATTAAACTAACTCACACTTCCTCCTCAACGTGAATGATGCTTTGAATCCAGGCAACCACTAACAACTTGAGCTTGAATTTAAGTTTTGGAGAGCCCTTAGACCTTAACTTGAAAAGTTGTTTGGTTATAACTTGTAACTTTTGGTAACAACATTAAAAGACATATGATGACATTATGTTTGAGGATTATTTATGTCAGTGATCATTATGATTAGAATATCTAATGACTGTTCAAGTAATTAATCTATGTAGAGTTCTTGTAGTGTGTCATGAAGTACTTGTTCCCAGCAATGTATGACTTGGATATCTCTATATCCATGACTTGTGAGATTAATCGTGTTAACAAGCCAATACATATAGTAATCTATGTATGAAAGATGTTTCATCTCAATGATATTTCCAACAAAAGACACTTAAAAATTAGTGTCATGGTGTCAAAATTAGAGCAATCTATCAAATTTATCAATGTTTTTAATGTATGTAAAAGATACAAATAAAAAAGAAAGGTTTTTACTTGAGAGAAGCCTAGGTAAGAAAATTTCCAATTGTTATGTCCAATTTTCATAGATAAAATAGGCAGACAAAAAGACTAGATAGACAAAACTTAAAAGTTTTTGGACCCAACTTATATAAAAAGAGGAATACTGGAGCTAATTGAAATTTCTATTTAAAGCTGAGGGATGAAATTAAATAATTACTCCTATTTTGCTTTTTATCCCTATCTCTCTCTCTAATCACAAAGTAAGATTTTCTCTGCTCTTGGCACGAGCTTATGAGCCTTCCTATGGGATTTTCATGTGAGGATGATTTGGTAAGTTTAAAAAAAAGTTTGTCTGTCCCTCTCCCTCTCTCTGTGTCAAGATTTCACATCTAAAGTAATATTCCTGGCATGGAGTTGTTGGCCTTCATTTCCGCATAATGCTTACATGTTTTTACGAATGTTTACTTGTTCAGGAGAAGATAGACAGTGAAGTTATATTGATAGATGAGAGCAGAGAAAGCAAACAGAGGGCTGGCATGGACTTTCAGTACCACCATGGAAATGGGATTGAATTCGATCTCGATGTGGAGTTTTGGCCAGTTGAACACCCGATGGAGCCACCGGACGAAGATCGGCCGGTTAAATGCCCCATTCCAACTGCTTCTTCTGTCATCAATGTATGTGAGATTGTCTTTCACCTTAAAATTTTCATGCTACTTTTTACTAGATCTTGTTGTCCCATTATTTTCTTTACAGTTAGATTCTGTTTGGTTTGGAGGAAATGAATGAGGAAATATGTTATCTTTTCATTTTCCACCCCCCTTCCTCTCCTTCATTTCCCTAAAAACATTTGTTTTCTAATACGAAAGTAAAATTAAATTCCCGTTGTTGACAATTGAGGGTTAGATCTGTTGGCTAGGAAATACTATCTAATATGTCAATTTTAGGATTTAAGTTTTAAAATTATCACTTAAGAATATATATATATATTTTAATATACCAGCCCAATGTGGAAGTCTGTCTCAAGACTTTCGAGAAGGTATTAGTTTTGAAATGCATAAAAGTAAACTTAAAAATACCCTAACCCATCAAATATAAAATTTAAAAAATAAAATAAAAAAGGAAAAAAATTCCCCAGTATTGACATTTCCCAGCAGCAAAAATGGCCCTAAACTTCATAAGGTAACTTTTCCTTTCCTCAGCCAGCATATGTACTTTCCTTACTCCTAGTAGTTTTGGGTAGTTGCCCTTGCAATATACCATTGGTTCTATACACAACTATATTCAAGTAGTTCTTGGTTGTATTATTGTCATCATAGAAAAAGAATATACTCCCTTTGATCCTATTTCTTTTTGTATATAGCTAACCCAGCACATAATTTAAGTGATACTTTTACATAACATATGAAGAATAATTGAATTTTTCTTTTAAAAAAATATGTAATGTTTGTTGACTAATTTTATTTGATTAAAAAAATAAACTTTTATTCATATGCTATTTAGAAGTATTATCTAAAGTTAAATGCCTCAAAAGTCAAAGCATGCAGATTAATAGGACCGGAGACAGTAGTTATTTGATCGTACAAAATTTTACATGCCGTCTCAATTAGTTTATATAGTGAAGACTTTAGGATCCAAACAGGCTGTTTTTCAGCTAGCCTGGGCCTGAAATTACCAGTTTACCATTAATACGTGGCAAGGAAAATGCAAAGAAAGGAGAAGATAGGTAATTTCGGGCTCGAACTAGCTGGGAAAAGTAGCCATAGTCTGGACTTGAAACCTCTTTTCTTATATAAAAATGTGTTGCGTAGTTTAAATTAAAATTATTCAATCACGGTCAAGCCCTTTAAATTTAAGTTTATCCCAATCCATTGGTTTTATTGTTTGGTTTTCAATATAGATCAAACTATAAAACCAATAATCTTTTTCATATATATATATATATAAACCCTCATCTAATAATTTTTTTTTTTATTTTTTTTTCAATCCAATGTAGTTGGACTCACATCTATAAAGTATAATAATTGGTTAAAAGGAAATTATGTGAAATGATTGATTCCTAGATATCTTAACAAATTCAAATAAACCAAATTCCATTCTGGCTTTTATTGAAATTTTATTTTTGGATCATGTGAAGGATGGTAAAATGAAGCAAGAATGGACAACAGAGAGCTTGCTGAGAGGAAAAGAGCAACCAGAAATGAAGAAAGTAGCCATTCAGGCAACCGAGCGTCCAATCAGAGCAGTCCGGAAAAGGCAACACACTCTCATCCGTGATGACCATTCCATGAAGCCCCTGACAAGAATGCCCCCCCTCCCAACCCAGAGTATCACCATTTTCCAAATGCTTCAGGAAGTTGACAAATTCGAGTCTTGACAAGGTAAATATGAAAAAACGGAAGGGGTATCCTTCCATTTGGAGAGTAACAAGACAAACATCAGCGTCGTAAACTTCAGCTCTTTTTGGAATAGATAATCCTAGATGTAGCCATAACTTCAAAACTATGTTAGCCTTCGGTAAACATATTCTGTATATGTATCATCATGGAACCCACATGTAGAACAATGGCCATCCTACTCACATTTCCACACACAGTCACATTGTTCTATTTACTCCAAGGCCAGACAACAAATGGCAAAGAGCAAACTTTAGAACCAGACTGAAAAATAAATGACATTACGTCTATATTACCTGAATAACTGACCCAACCACCGGAGACGACCTGGAATTTTTAAGTTAAAATGGCATAGAAGCTGCAACTGCAACTCTAGCAAAGTCATTTCAGTGAAAGTAAGAAATCACCGTAGCATTGACAAATCATCAAACCTATAACAGTACGCATCAAGTCTCAAAATTGAAAACCCCTTCCGTTCAGAACTTTCTTTGTCACGTCTTTGATTGCTTCCTGTGTCATTTACTGTTTGAACAATTGCATTCTAACCGCTGAAAAAAACATGGGACTTATCATGCTTTATATATAGATCATAATGATATACATCATAATGGCCAGGAATTAAATTTCTCTCCTTATGATCAAGATAAATGGTCGTGTCACAACCTAAAAACTAGCAAACATAATGACACAGAAGAAAACAGAGTTATTCTACAGGTGAAATACAACAGAGTGCTCTTTGTACCGTAACTCTTCAATCCAGTCTATTCTACCAGTGAAATACAAAGGGCGACAGCCATGCCAAAAGTTAGTGAGATTAATTGCACAGTAATACTTTTAAACGTCAAGCTGCCACTGTTATTCATCTCTGCAAGCACTCCAGCGACAGCAATGTATATAAATCCACCCGCTGTAAATCCCTGCAAGATATATATTCATTAGAAATCATAACTGACCAAGAAGAACTCACCCTAATATACTTCCAACAAAAAGCACTAAGGCTATACCTCAATCAAAGATGAATGTCCAGGATCTTGTCCCATGAGCAGAGCCTACATAAATAGCAGTAAATTATCTATTTTTTTAATCATTTGACATAAAAAGAGATTGGCCCTAACCTGCATAACACCCTTACCATTGCAGTTCCTGCCAGAGCTACAAGCGCTGAAAGGAAGTTGAAGAACAGTGCTTTTGTAACACTGAAACCAGACCTTACCAATATACCAAAGTCACCAACCTGCAAAGGCGGATAAGCCAAAGTCAAAGACAATGGTAATGATTAGACAAAATTTTTTATGCAATTTTTGAAAAACAAAATTTTAGCATTTTCTAACAGTAGAAATGCACATACAGTGGTACCTGAAATATCATTGTAAGGGATAATAATATCAGTTGTACAGAACCAGACTAAATTCAGAAAATATTGAATTTCTCTCAACTAATATGCTTGTGGCACTGGCCGACATTCTATGTCAAACTTTTCAAGGAAATATTTTGTTAAAAGAAATAAGTCTTCTAGTTACTATCTTAACTCACTGACAATGAGAGCCTAGCAGCAACACAATAAACAAGAATGTAAAATGACGTGCCTGCACTGACAAAAATAAGATCTGAAGAAAATAAAACAAAACAGACACAAAATTAGACAAGTATCTAAACTGAGCTCTTTGAAGAATTCAAACCTATCGTTGACAAAGATCAAGAAAATTTTCTTTTTACATCTTAGATATATTTACCAACACGGTATACATGTAACTGTCAACTACATTGGACTAGTTAATTATGGAAAATGACTCCGTTAGACTGAATGCTAAATTTTTTCTTAAGCATAAAAAAATTTTATGGCTAGATAAGACAGAATGATAAATGCATTAATCAAACACTAGAATAGACTGTTAAAGGGAAGTTTCTAAAATTGAAAGAGGACTTAACCCTAAATGCCACAAGACCTGCATAAATAATCTGAGTGGCAAACTAAAGATGGTAGCCTGAAGTTGCATCATATTGACTAATCCTCAATCCATCTCCAGACAATTTTGAGTATACCAAACAAACAACAGCATAAACAGAATAAAATCATAAACACTATGCTCCATAGCAGATAAGAAGCAGCAAAAATCCACTTGATACAAACAAGTCAGCAGTAGATGAAAGCTACTAAATTTCCTTGACACAAGCAAGTCAGAAGATAGTATATACAAGATCCAGCATCTGATGGCTCTAATTCAAAATCATGTTTGAAAATCAAGTATGTCCAAGGATGTCATAATTTCTAAACATTTCATAAAATCATTCAACCACTATTTTTTTAACAACTTATTGCCAAACTAAGATAAATCTGAGGCATAGACATCATTGCCTGATTTACTTTATTTGCTTGAAAAACAGTATCATAGTAAATTTTACAAGTTCAAAATCTAAACAAATCCTTCAAAATTGAAAGGGAAACTCAAACCTCTTGAGGCAGCTCATGTGCAAGCAAAAATAGAGTTCTAGACCAGCCACCCACAGATCCATGAAGTAGGAAAGCACTTCCTAAAGCCATTCCATCGGTAAAATTATGCTGCAACAATAACACATTATATTCGACTGCTTAAATTATTTCAGTTTAGTCAAACATATAGACTAAACCAGATATTTCAATCAGGAGTACACCACTAACAAACAACACATACTAAAGAACATACTTACAACACCATCAGAGAAGAGATTGAGATAGCCAAAAACCAGGTTTGAGGATGATTGGGCAGGCACCTCTTCAGTCAAGGATTTGAGATTATGAGGGGAACCGTCTGCCGCATCTATCTCTGATTTATCATCACTGACACAAAAAGTCTTTCTCTGCAGCATACAAAGCATGGTGTTAGATGATGTTTAGCATTAGACATATCAATGTTGCAAGTCTTCATCAATCCACATTAATCCAAACAATTTGCTACATAAATTTGACATGCAATTGCTGATAAACATACATAGCCAATGCCCATGGTATGCTTCTGCAGCAACTCTAGATCACTGGTTGCTTCTATGCTGAAATTATTGCAACAAACAATGTTCTAGCCTACCTTCCGAAGACTTTCAGGTTGAGTTAGATTATCTCCATTCAACAAGTTATTTGATAAGTCATCCAACTGTTTGCCTTCAGTTCCGCCTGTTGGTTGTGACTTGAACTCATCATGAACATCATTATCATCTTTCAATTTCTTATTTTTCTTGTGATGATGGTGATGATGACCATGACCCCATGTAGTTTCTCCTCTAGAATTTTCTTCAACATATCTCACCACCTTCTCCACAAGAAGAAACAGTACTACCCCAGCTGTGACAAGCGAAAAGGCAAAATAAGAGTTCAAGGCATTTGTAAATGAACATGGCATTACCCTAATTATAATAACATCAAGAAATGATCAACAAAAGTGAAGCAGCACTAAATGAAGAGACTACCATATATGGAGTGGGATCCTTTTAAATAAAAATAATGTGAAACATAGCCAACAGATTCAACATAGCACCACATCTTCAACAATCAAAGTGTATGCAATTCTTTTTTATTTTCTTCAATAACAGATTCAAATGGAAGCATCACATCCTCAACAATTGAAGTGTATGTTATTCCTTTTTATTTTCTACAAAAACAGATTCAAATGGAAATTTCACAAAAAGTATCTCTAGAGGTTTAGGTTTGGCAAACATAAGATATATAACATCAACTCTAGTTCAAGAAAACACCAAAAAGTATTCTCCCCAACCTCCTAAGTCCTAACCATAACTAGATATGTCTTACCAGCCTTCAATGCAGTAGTTCAATGAAATTTACCATCAAGGGTATATAAGAGTAGATTCCTTAACGAACAGTCTGTTCATACTTCAAAGCTCATCAAGTTTGCATTAAGTTTAATCTTAGGACAAAAAGAAGAAAATATTTCATTGCGCCATTTGAAGCTACTGTATCTGATTCAAACATTTCAAAGGTCACAAATCAAGATAAAATTGCATTGAACAAATGGTCTGAATATGCAATTTACACATCTATGCCTGTATAGAACAGTCATGAATTAAAATCATCCTACATTATTCCACTTACCAAGAATAGACAGCCCCACAGAGAGATCTTTTAAAGAATGTGAATGTGAATGTGAATGTGAATGTGAATGCTCATTATCATGTCCAAAATGAGAATGGTCCGCATGGTGCTCATGTGAATGGGGGTGCTCACCACCTGCAAGCAAACACAAAATTAGCTTCCCTTTTTTTCTTTTTCCTTTTTTTGTCAACAAACAAAAAATTAGTTTTTTTTTTCTGTTTTTTCTTTTTGGTCAACAAAGACAATTAGTTAATGGCTACAAAACCCACAGAAACACAAAGTGCGATCTGTATTGGAGTTACAGCATACATGAGTTCAGGAAAATGACATTTGAACTTTCCTAGACCATCAGATCATCACCTCTCTAAATTATCCATAGCTTTTAACTCATAGGAGCCTGTTTGTTCAGAATGAAATTGGACATAAATTGAATGGTTAAAATCAACAAGTAGAATTTTTTTTTTTTTTTTTCAAGTGCAAATTTAGCCTTTGGTAAGTTATCTCTAGTGATAACATAGAAACTGGTTTGACGCATGTTCAAGATAAGCCCCTCAGAATGCTCATGAAGGGACTTAAAGGAGAACAAGTGATGGCATGTATTAGCAACATAGACAAGATGTCCTCTTTGGAAGACTAAGACAAAAGCTGTTGCATTGACCAACCAAAAAACACTCTGATCTTAGATGAAGTATTCAACAATTCATTTATTATATGAATATGCAACTTCCACTTCTAATTGGACTTTTATGCTTATTAGGCTGGGTTGTTTTCATAGTTTACATTTTGTACAAGCAAAACAATGTCCATTGAAACTTCGTTTAAGTTACATTATGGAAAATGGAGTTGAAACCCAAACATCAGTTTATGCCTGCAGCTGAGGAAATGGAGCATAATCAACTAAAAAGTGCTAAATATCTCAAAACATTTTAAGCAAATGGAAAGCATTTGGCTGATACCCATACCAGAATAATATATAGTGTGCTACAGCCCAAACCCTCAGCATACCACTAAAAACACTTGACTTTTTAATGACAATTAGCTAGATGATCAGTATCATACCAAAAGCATGGGGCAACTGGTGAAGAAATGCATCACCCAGCATAGCTCCAGCCTGTAATAGCAATTTCAGATGAAAGAACCAATTAAAAAACAATCTAGAAAATTAAAATGTCCAACAAGTTATAATGAAATAACACAAAACTCAGTAAGCTTGTTAAAGTGTTCAAGGGTTGGGTTCCATTAGTTTTAAATGAAACAACATGGAAGATCTTTTTAAATGTAAGGAATAGAAGTTATGGCTAGAATCCTGAACCATTGAATAGTCTCTGGTCCTATTTAGAAGCAACAGTAAGCTTTTTAGGAGAATGAAAAGTGTTAGTAATCATACTTGTATACATTCTAAACAATCAAAGAAAGTTCCAAAAAATTAATAGGCACTAACAACTGCTGTTTCATCTAATCTTGAAGGGCAACTACTGTTAATTTTTTTTTTAACATGGAGAGAACATTTTTTATAACAGTTGAAAATCTCTTGTAAAAATAAGGAGAAAAAAAGGAAAGAATTTTATGTCTCCTCTTCTCTTTCTCCCTCCACTAAGCTGAAAAAAGCATTAAATATAGTGTGCTTCATTGGAGAGCTCAGTGCTCCATTAATAGCAATAGATTGGTGCTCAAGGAGACCAACTGATCCTCAATGCATCTAAAAGCAGTCTAGGAGAGCTTGACCATGCCAACAAAGCACCAATCAGGTGAACATAGAAATAGAGGGGGAAGACGTGAAGGCAAGAGAGGAGAAAAATTATTAATAATTCTCTGCCCCTTAGATGACAAATCAAGGCAAAGGATGGGGGGTGGGTCTTGCCACAATTTAAAGCACAATGGCAAATTATCATCAGCAAACTGAATGGATGTACACTATAATTTACCAAAAAAATAATAATAAAAAGAAAAACCAAGAAAAAGTAAAAGAGATTGATTTAAAAATTTTTCTTTAGTTGCTTAGCATCTTAAGAATACCATCAGAAGGCTTCCAAGAATTTTAAGGTATACTTGAATTTACGTATGAAATGAGAAGAGGCATGTTCATAAGTCTTACAACATGAAAACCAAAAAGCAGGTGGATTTTGTAACCTAGCTAGACAACAATACAATGCTTTTTCCATTGATGTCAATTTTATTATGTGCATTTTTCACAATGTTGATGGCAATTATTGAATCAAAGGAGGGGAGCCTAATAGGGAAGTTTTCCTAAATTATAGGATGAAGAAGAATCTAAAAAAATTAATAAATGTTCATGATCTGGTATGATGCAATTCCATAATAACATTAAGCAGCAAATTGATCAAGCAAACTATAAGTGTAAGCAGCATATTTATCAAGCAAACTAAACTCTAAGCAGCAAACATAATAAGCACAAGACTAATCATGAAAGTCCAGTACAAGTCACAGAGTCATATAACAGACGCAATCTAAATTTACAATTAATGATGAATGAAGATTTATAAACTAATAATAAACATGAAACAGCACCAAGACTGTGAACAAAGGAACAGTATCAGAAACTACGGTAGAAACAAGGATGACATTTATTCAAGCACTCAAAAGATATTATCTAGAAAAAGTTATGATAGCTAAAAATAATTAAGCTCCAAAGGCCAAATAAAAGGCTTGAAGAATCTAACCCCAAATAAAGCCAGTGAATCAACCACAGCTTTGGATGGTTTTCCTTGTACTGCAATAAAATAGATTTAGGCATTTTTCATCAGAATTTGCATCTTAAGATTAAAGGCATCACTTAATTCAGGAAAAAAACTGCTCTTAACAAAAGAACAAATTATTATTTCTGCTTTTGTTGTCTCTTACCAAATAGTATTGGCAAAATAATTAGACAAACAAGGGAAGCCAAGCTAACCAAAAGTGAGCAACCCAGTGCATGCAACCAAAGACCTGCCAGAAAATAAAATAATTAGCCCTGAAAGACATAGAAATCAGATTCATTGTTGGGGCTGGACGGTAGACACTTTAAGTTTTGGGATGTTTTACTTCATCACATGGAAAGATTAAAGAGGACAGACTGCAGACCTTTACACTGTCCATAACATGGGAACAAATGACAACATGACAATGAACCATGAAACAAAGGATGAGAAGAGAAGCTTATATTGTTTTTTTATAATATATCAGAAGTCAAAACCTAAAATAATAATAATAATAATAACAATAATAATAATAATAATAAACCTAAAATCTAAAATCTTTTTCTATATAACAGTGAAAAATCTCAAAGTAAACTTGATCAAGTCCTTTCACTTTGGGACTTAAATAAAGGTCCTTGATCCACAACTCAATATTCTTGTATGTTCCTTCTAGTTAGTGGGGCATCAAAGACAATGAATCATAAAAGCTTGGAACACAATTCAATTAGTCCACTTACCAACGTAATTGCATTATGTGCATACAAATGAACATATAATGTGCACAAAGATTGTTAAAATTCGTTTCCTACCTCATGGAAATAAGATATTGGCATGGTATCCTGGGCTCCCTCCAAAAATGGCATTTTTTCTATAAAACCTGTTACAAGGTCTTACAACTAAAAATGAACAATGAATTAGGATAGGGTGGTATGGTCTGGTTGTATATTGCCTAGACATAGCTTTATTCTTTGGCAATTAATTAGGAAGAGGCTGAAGACTAAACACTTACTAGCAACCAGGGTATTATGATTGAGTTGACATTTATTTTGTGTGGTACTGCTAATGAAACTATTAAGCATCTTTTCTTCACTTGTGAGAACTCTAGTAGTGTCTGGGAGAGGGTCATGTCAGATTGTGTTTTTACTGCATGCCTCAGATTTGGGACCGTGAATGATTACAGTTAAGTCAGAATGACAAGAGTAAATAGTTTAAATCTAAATTACTTCATTGTGGTTTTGCAGCAACAGTATACCATGTGTGGCAGGAAGCTGTTTAAATAGGAAAATAGAACAAGAGGTCACCAGCCTTTACCCCAAACAAAGAGATGAGAGTGATAAAGGAGGTTTCCAATTAGTTTTTGCATGAGAACTTGACTGAGCACATGATTTCCTTCAACTCTTGAAGTTTCTAATTCTTATAATTTCTAAAATTTAGAATTATATAGTCATATTTTTAGATGGTAGTCAAGTCAGGTTCTTGCTACTACTAATTTTGTATCTTGAAAGTTGTAAGCATGTATCTCATAATTCTTAGCAAAATATCAAGTGAACCTCTACTAGACTAATAACTCTTTTGGTCAAGATCAACTGGCCTTAAAAATTCAAGCTTGTTAGTAGTGGTTAGTCTTATTGGAGCATCACATTAAATATCTTACAAATAATAATGTCCAAAAGAAATTTTGGCCTATTCTCTGAGGACTGTTCCAAGAGTAGTATAAACGCCTTGGCAAGGTCTAGTATTTACTTTGAAACTAGAAAGTGAGAAATATTTGAGAAAAATTGCTCATTAACCAAGATGATTGAATTCTTCTAGTTCCTACCTTTGGGATACTGTCTGGGCTCACCACTCTTAAGTATACAGAAACATTCACCACCTTAGAAATTCCAGAGCTTGAACTAGAAGTCAACTCTCTTTGAACCCCAACCAAAGAGATGCAAAGTTAAGAATCAGAAAAACTCAATCTATAGGCACTAAGAGCAATTTCCAAATCTCTACAGAAACAAAAATTAACACAGTAGAAAGAAGCACTTCAACATTTTCTACATTTATTAGGGCAAAAAAATATTTTTAAAAAACAAAATGAGAAAACTAAATTAGAAGTTAACAGCTAATAGCATCCACAAATAAAATATCCTACTCCGAATCCATACCTAAGCCAGAAAGCTGCTGATGCTCGTGATCGTGATCGTTGTAAGGCCCGAAGCCGAACAGTCTCATATCCTCTTCCTCAGCCAATTCCTCGGGCAGCAACATCCACTTTCTCTCATCCTCCTTGCGCCGATCCTCAAGACGGTGGTGGTGGCTGAGCTCGTGTCCATGATCGCACTGATGGTGGTGGTGGTGGTCATGGTGATTCCGCCGGTGCACCGGCGACGAACAAGACTCATGCCCCAAGCATCGATCCAGACACAAAAAGAAAATCATTAGAATCACTACCGAGACCTGTTTCTTCCAAAGCAACATTTTCCTTCTTCTTTTATTGTTGTCTGTTACTTCTTTATCAAAACTGCTAAGATTTAGGGCTTTCTAAGGTTAAGGCAGTGTTTGGCTGAGGGTTACTAAGAACGATTTTTGCAGGTGCCTTCTATGGTTATGAAACAAACAATGGCTAAGAAGAGAAGGATTATCGCTACTATGATGCCGAAAGTAATTACATCCATTTTTAATTTTCCATTTCTTTTCTGTTTGTTTCTCGGGATTCCTTGGAAGAATAAATCAAAAGGAAAAATAAGATCTGAATCTGGCAGAGAAGGGTGTCAGTGAGAGTAGGTCTGAGTTATGAGATTCAAAAATGAATATTACAAGAGTAGATAGGACAATACTCAATATGCCCCTTAAACTAGTCAATTTATGCAATCAAGCTCCTGCTAACTTTTTAAAGTCTAGAGTTCTCACAACAAATGCCTCTGTTAGCTTTTGCTTGCCAGTGGAGAGCCAAGCTGCAAAGGTCAAGAGTCACCACGATTTCATAGCCTTGGTTATTCATGCCTAAAATTATTAGGTTGTATTTTAATTTTAGAACCTCAATATAGTATCTAAACTAAATAAATCTTTGTTTTGATCCCTTGAGTTTTAAATTTTAGCTCTTTTCTGTCCTAAAATAAGAATTTTTTTTTTTTTAATTTAAGAATCAAACTAAGAGTTCATACAAAGTTTAAGGACAAATTTCAGGTTTAATTTAATAGTAATTTTGTAATTAAATAAGTTTTAAAACTAATATAAACAACAAAATTTATCTACACTATCAATTTTTAACATGTGAAATTTTTACATCATTTTTTTTAGGGAAAAACAATTTAGCATCAATTAGCTTGCATATCAAAATGTAAAATTTTAGAAACCAAAATTAAAATTTATTTAGTTTAAAAACTAAATTAGGGTCCATTTCAAAGTTGAGGACCAAAATTGAGGTTTAATCAAATTATTAGGTTTCCTGACAGCTATTATGCCACCCAAAGAAACTTTTGGCAATATTCCAAAAAAAATAAAAAAAGAGAAAAGGAAGAAACTTTTGGTTTAAAAAAATAGACTTAATTTAAAAATTAGTCTATTAACTATTAGTTTGTTTTTATTTTAATCTAAAAAGTATGTTTTATTTCTATTTTAGTTTAAAAAGTATGTTTTATTTCTAAGTGGTCTATAAATTTTGAAAAATATTTTAGAATAATTTATCATATAAGATTTTTTTGTTAGTTTTAATAAGAATCAACTTAGAATTAAAATAAAACAGTCTTTTAAGTTTTTAAAAAGTGACACTATAATCCTAATAAAATATAATGAATCAAGGAATACTCTATAAAGATAGATTAGTTAGAATTTGTAATGAAATTGAGCAACTAACTCAATTCAAAAAGAGAAACCATAGCAAACTTAGAACAAGGAGCTTTAGAAGTAAGTATTGAAAATACAATAAGAGTTAGAACTCTTAATTACAAAATAAGAACAAAAAAAGAAAGAATAAATACATTAAGAAATATTATTAATACACTTTTATCAATATGAGTAATAAACAAATAAATCAAATTGGCATGTATTTACTCAATACATTAGAGAAAAGTATAATAGTATAAAAGATACAATTATCACAGATAAAATTCTAAAAATAGAAACAATTAATGAAAATATCCTAAGAAGAATTAAAGAAATGGGAAAATCCATTTCTCAAGAATTTGATTCTATTAAAGAAATAATAAATAATATCAAAAATTATAGAAATTTGAAAGAAATAAAAGAAAAAATAAGGTCTATTAAAAACTCAAAAACTCTGATATCTTGAGTAAGAGAAATAGAAATCAAAATAGAAGAAATTTTTAAGATATTAAAAGTAATCGTTGAAAATTTGCAATAAAAGCTTAAAGACGTATAACAGAATAATTCCACAATTAGAAAGTGATATAGATAAAAATTATTATAAAATCTAGACACAACTCAAGAACTTATAAGATACTATAGTATCAATCTATAGTAGACAAAATACTACAGATAGAAATGAAAGATTTAAAATAATCCCGAAGATTTTTACAGAAAAACCGAAATAAAAAAAGATAACACTTTTCATGTTAAAAATCCAAGAAGAAAGGTTGAAAGAATTTGAATAAAAATTCTTAAAAGAAGAAAATGTGGAAGAACTAGATAATCTATGCAAACAAATTACTATAACTACTAAATAATTAGAAAATATGAAAATGAATACCCAAAAGGAGGAAATAGAAGAGGAAAGTGAAGAAGAAAAGGATGCGACACATCCTAATATAACCCCAACAGATTTCTAGTGCCATTTGGAGTAGAATCCAGCATAAGCCAAAGTTATAGAAAAAAATAGAAATGTAACACATGAAGTGATATATGATAAAAAAGAGTAAAAGATTTGGGAATTAATCTAGACTTGAAACGCCAATTAGAATCAAAGAACAAATAATTAGTACTAATAGTATTTAGCTAGATCCAGTGTTGTTAATAGTGGCCATAGCGGCCGCTATAGTGGCATAGCGTAGCGGTTAGCTATGGCCACTATGATAAATTTTCATAGCGTAGTGTTTTTTCAATAACGGCTACTATTACCACTAATAGCAGCCGCTATACATATAGCGAATAGCACGTATAGCCACCGCTATGTAATTTTTTTTTTACTGTTTTGGTCAAATTACCATGTTAACCCCACATCAAAAGTTTAAGTCAAAAATTTTTAAGGTTAATTTTGCCTTTCCAACTTTTCTATTTATAAATTAAAGAAAGAAAACCCTAAAAGCTAAAACTCATCGCATCTGGTCTTGTCCCGCGCACATCTAGTCTCCCGACTCTTCTCCTCCCAACTCTCCTCTCGACTCTCCTCCACACTTTGCGCAACATCTGGTCTCCTCTTAGTCCTCATTAGTCATAGAAAGAATGCAAGACAACTCTCACAGAGCTTACCCTTTCACACCTTCTGTAACTGAAGTTACTAGACTACGATTGAACA